CCCCCCCCTCCCCCCCTCGGCACCTTGATTCTTTTAATATGACTGGCACCAGTCAAGAAAAGGACGTCCCGTCGAGGTCGGCGTTGCTCCGAACGATTCCCCGTCCTCCTCCACTCGCGTCTCCTCTTAACTCAGTCCGAGCTTAATCCGCTTCATCATTTACCGATTATTTTCAAAGAAATGATATTATTTTTTCTTTGCCCGTTTCTTTGAGCTTATTGCGAGTCAGGCTTTACATTATCCACACCTTCCGGCGAATGTATTTCCTTTGGTCCCGGAATTTGTTTTTTTCTCTCTTCTTCCTTCCCCCTTTTTCGTCTAAATTCTCGTGATCGCAACCCTCATAACAAATTTCCCTCATAACCTAATTTCTCATACCTTTTTGCCTTTAAACCATCACCTGTTCGCTTCTACTCTCTCCTCCTACTGTTTTGCGCGAACACCTACCGATATTTCGTTCCGACTTGAATCCCCATGCACGATTGCACAGTCCACCTTCCCCCACCAGCATCGCCGCCAATTGACTCAAGTCCACAGTGGATGGCCGAGCAAATAGGAGGAACTGTGCAAGACGAGAAAGCTCGGCCAACAGTCAAGTTGGCCTAGCGTGACAAGATCCATCCCGAACGCATGTATGCATGTGTCCCGGCGTGTGTCGCTTCACGTGGATCCCCATATGTCTGGTTCCCCAGACATTTGTTCGTGCGGGACGGGGACACATCTCTCTGTTATGCTTCCAGTTTTCGGGCTAGCTCTCTGCTCGCAATTCGACGCTTCGTTCCGATCTGCGCCGCTTCTCGTCGAACGGTGCACCCGTGCACTCGAGGAGAGGGCTTACGCCGACTCGAGCCTCAATCTCTACAAGGTTTACCACAACAGTCCATCGAACGAGCAGACCTTAGAGCTCCGGCGGAGCCTCAACGAAGGTGAGACGAGTTACTACTTACATAAAGTTTAGGATCACTCTTGTTATCACACCAGAATCCTGGCTAATGGAACGATTTTTAATGTTCTGCCTGCGACTTTCTTTTTAGATGTCAACAACGCTGAACTGGCTCAGTACTCACCGCAGTGCATCGCGAGCGTTCTCAAGAAGTTCCTGCGAGAGCTACCGGATCCCGTGATTCCGGTCCAGTGGTACGACAGGTTCTTGGAAGCATCCAGTGAGTCTTCACCATGTCTTCCTCTTATCATTTTTGAACGCCCCGGCCGAGGCTCTCCCGCGATAAGATAGCTATCAGGTTGCAGCAAGAAAGGAAGCCCCCCTCTCCTTTTCTCGATATAGATTCGATATAGATTCGATTCGATTCGATATAATTGAAAGGAACGAGCAGCCGCTTCAGGAAGGAGAGTCGCCTTGGATTCTGAGCGTCATCGTTTTATGCTTCTACTTATCTCCTTATCTTTTTATCTTCTTATCGGCATGACTTCTTGACACCTTCTCCCTCCCTCGCTCTTTCGCTGATTCTCTGATTCTCTCTCTCTCTCTCTCTCTCTCTCTCTCTCTCTCTCTCTCTTTCTCGCTGACACTTTGTCTCGATCTTTGCTGCCTCAGGACTTCGGAACGACGAGCAATGCGCTGCCCATCTCAACCAACTGGTTAACGAGCTCCCGGGACATCATAGGAGCACCCTGCGTCATCTGATGTCACACTTTTGTCGGATATGTCAATTTCAGCACGCAAGAGGTTACAGAGAACCTCCGACTATTCTCATACAGGTTCTCTGTCATATATTTCTTAGGCCGCCATGGGAGCGTATCATGTTAGTATATTCCTGTCTTCTTTCTTTAGATCCAATTTTTCCTATTGGCTATGGCCTCACACGAGTTACGTATATTGCAGACAAGTCGTTTACAACACGGAGGCGCACATTCGCATAATGGAATTACTTTTGCTACACGGCGATTGGAACGAGAGACTGCCGGAATTTGCGAGTGCTCCTCAACTTCCGCCTCGTAAGGTCTCTAGGCCTTTATTTCCGGTTCTCGAGCATTTTCCTACACTCGAGGAAGATATGGCTGCTAGTGAACGATCATCCGGCGCTGACAAAGAACAACCACACAGGTACTTTGAGATAATTGTCCCGTAATCTCGTGATTTAAGTATCTCAGCATCGCTTAGAGATACCAATGATAATTTTAAATTTTCACTCGTAGACCACGTACTTTGCAAGAGGCCGAGTGGTACTGGGGTGACATCACCAGGGATGAGGTCAATGAAAAAATGATCGAATCCCCCGATGGAACTTTCCTTGTGCGCAATGCCTCCTCCAAGGGTGGCGAATATACGCTGACGTTGCGCAAGGGTGGTACCAATAAATTGATTAAGATTTGTCACCGGAATGGAAAATATGGCTTCTCAGAGCCTTATAATTTCCATTCGGTGATTGAGCTGGTCGATCATTATAGGAATTGCTCGCTCGCCCAGTACAACTCCACCTTGGATATCAAGCTTCTTTATCCCGTATCGAGATTTCAGCAGGTAAGATTTTTCTTGTACTTATCTGCATATAACGCTATTGCGCAAGAGGTAAACAGGAGAATTGATTAATTATTCTATGAGCGTAAAGGTCCTTGGTGGAAACTGCGGGACTGTCCGAAACCGTTTGATATCAGCGTGGAGACTGGTTCTCTACGTGTTCGCGGAAAATTGCAATTCCCGGATCGAGGACGTCGGCTTTTACCCATAGGCGCCATTTCATGTCGTCCTTTCGATCTCCTAAGTTATCGGCCCGGCGCCGACGGTTCGGCGTCCTCGTGACAATTAATGATTTAGACATGGTTACTATTCATTCTTTCAACGGTACCCTTCGCTGCTTTGGACGTGTCGACAATACTCTTTCACAATACCCATATTTCTCTACGACATTGGTGCTTTGGCGTGCCTTTCTCGTTGATAACAATAGCGCCATACCACGTAAGCGTCTGTGTGCTAGCATATACATATTTATCCAAATGAGAGTATTATACGGATTGGATATGGATATCGATATCGGGAATTGGTTCAAGAACAGAATTATTGATAATAACCGGGAACTCTGAATAATATGGGTCCCTTTCGCAGTATCCATGTATAACGTTTTTTAAACATATGGAAATTAAAAAAACCGTGTTTCTCTGTTAAAACAGGATGACGAGATTCCCAGTACGGCTAACCCAAGGGTCATCATCGAAAAATATATCGAGATCGACAAGGAGGTGATGGATACATTGAGGCAGTATCAGGATTGTTCTGAACTCTACGGTAAAACGGCTTACGAGGTGCAACTGAAGCTTCAAGCTCTAGAAGCCTTCAGCGAGGCTATCAAGATGTTCGAAGATCAAACAAAGCTTCAGGACAAATTTCACAAGGAGGGACAGCCCCATGAGATATCCGCGTGAGTATGCCTTACTAGCATACACGTGATTTTTCATTATTACGTATCGTTTTTTTTTTTTGACCGATACGTCAATCTAAACGGCGAGCTGCTCTCGTGTTGCAGGCTGACGGACAACTCGGTCCTCCTAAGGAGAAGGATGAAGTCTCTGGACGATAGCAAGGAACACCTGGAGAACACTCTGAAACAGCAAATTGCCTACAACAGAACACTCGAGCGAGAAATGCACAAGCTCAAGCCGGATATAATCCAGCTTCGTCGTCAGAGGGAGAGGCACGGCGTGTACGTAAACCTTCTTACATTGTGATCTGTATGCGTTCTGTATGCGCGCATCTGCAACCTAGAGCTTTTTGTCGACTCGAAGAGATTTCCTTTTACTATTTTGCCTTCTTCCAGGTGGTTGAAGAAGCGCGGCGTGACGCGGCAAAAGATCAATCAGTACATGTTAAAGCACTCGGCGACCAATGCCGCGCTGGATGAAATGGCATACGGGGATCTGCAGGACTTCGATCTGGAGATTCACGCGGACGAAAAAACGTGGCTTTATCTAGAAGGATCACGTCCCGACGCTGACAGATTACTAGCTGGACGCCCGGATGGCACTTTCCTCGTGCGTCGATCGAGCAGCGGCCAATACGCTCTTTCAATCATGTAATAAACTCCCGCTACTTCTATTGTTTGTAATTGGGTGTTTTTTTGTCGTTTGAAAAAAAGTTTCACCGGAATCCTATGTCTTGTATTTCAGGTGCAACGGCACGGTAAATCATTGCATAATATATGCCACCGAGCGCGGTTACGGATTCGCTGAGCCATTCAACATCCATGAAACACTTAAGCACTTGGTGCTGCATTATGCTCAGAATTCCCTGGAGGAACATAATGAGAGCCTCAACACGACTCTGGCTTATCCTGCATTCGCGCCAGCCACTGCTCTGGTGCAGTTGCAGGCGCAGCACATGCAGACGCAAACGCAAATGCTACAGGCCCAGAATCAGAATCAAATCCCGCTGCCGATTCCTATGGCGCGGCCGTCATAAAATCAACACTTTGGACATCAGGCGTAATCAATTCGTTTAGAAAACTTGGACTCGACAAATATAATCATTCTCGGCGCCGTTTTCATCATCTCCTCCGTTCTACGATAGAATCAGCATAAGATCTCAGGGCGCGAGAAGCTCAGAAGTCTCTTTGATGCTTGAGACATAATCCTTTTCAGAGGTAGATGAACCAAATATCCGTCATTTTCTACTGAGCATCATTGTCACCCTTGGCTACCATGGCTACTTTGTCTACAAAAACGCAAATCCCGGTACGTTTACGTTGCGAGTCCAGATAGTGTATCCGTATCGACTAACTACCGTTAAGTACAAATCTATAGAGCTCCTGGGGATCATTACTGAAAAGTTATACTACTCTTATAGCTTGAGGAATCAAAATGTCGTTTTCGAGAAGCGGTTGTGCATATGTAGAATCGTGCGGTAACCACTTGTAGGATTGAAGGTAACGTCGACCGTTGGTACACTCAAGAAACAGCAACAAGAAAGTCAATGGACAAGAAAGAAGCAAAGGCACACACTGTGACACTGTGACACTGTGACACTGTGACACTGTGACGCACACACTCATTTTCAAATGCCAATGTGCTTCCTGGCAATTGAGGCTGCACTGCACACGGTTTGTGTTTGTCAGGTTATCTTGCCAGGTTACGATTAGCGGTCCCGCCGGCGTCGTCCCAACGCTTCCTGAACTGAATTCTGGTGTATCGCACGATCAACGCTTACTCTCTCGCAGGCCTTTCTTCTCTTTTCCTCCTAGACGTTTCGCTTCAGGGCGAGTCTCGCGGCAAACAACGAATTTTCAATGGAGGATTGCGAGGAGCGTTTTTTATACGTAGGATTAAGTGCTGTACCAGCCAGGGTGAGTGACGCGGGACGCGAGGCGTAGTGAGCGCGTACTTTTTTTTTTAAATATAGAATTATCTGTGATTTCGAGTTGACAGTAAACACAGGGCCTCCGGGCAGCGGTCCTTTCGCGTATATTTGCATCGCCGTTTTTTCTCCGATTTCTAAGTGCGGCCGCAAAAATCCCGAGTATCGAAAGAGGGGGTGCTGAGCCTTTGACGCTTCGAGCAGAAGAAAGAAATATATTTTAGCGAGGGCGAAAGCGCCAGAGAGACTGAGAAAGGGAGAGCCGATTAAATTCTAAAACTCTTTATAATCAAAGGATCGATAATCGGTATAGTAATAGACACGTATACATAGTACATCCACCGAGAGAGAATTACAAGTGTGTAAAAGTGTATGCATCCACATAAAACTCTTATACATATTCAGGGACACACCACGATACTTGTTGCGTAATCGATCGTCTGAACGTTCAACGGCGATTGGACGTTGCTCGTGCTAATCAGGTGCGGCACAGATCAAGGGGGCGTAACGATTGTATGCAGACGCCATTACGAGGCGCCCCACCCCAGACAATCGACTTAAGATTTGAAACGATTGGCAGAACGGAAGATCGAACGGAAGATCGAACGGAAGATCGAACGGAGGCCCGAAGGATTGCCGCTTGATAGATCTCATTAAATATTCGCGACTTACAATTAGTTGCGTCGTTAGGAGGATCGTCTCGGTTTCGTGTGTCGGGAAATCTTAGGTTTACAGAGCGGTCAGTAAACTCAAGAGTCTACCGGCACGTGTAGCATCGTATTGACGATTCTCCCGAGCGGCAAATTGTGCGACACCAAAAAGCCACCGGGCGAGACCAGAGAGCCCCGCACGCAAAAGATATAAGTATAACAAAGGCGACCGATGTGAAGTTAAAGAGAGAGAGAGAGAGAGATATGTCTCTCCTTTGTTAGAGGCGCTATTTTTTCTTTTTTTAATAAACGCAACGGGATGACGAAGAAAGGGACGAAGAAGAAGAAGAAGAAGAAGAGAGCAGGAAGGATATTGAGGAGCTGATGTAGGAATCAACGAAGAATATAGGAGATAGCAGGAAACGAATGTAAGAGGAAGAAATAGAAAAGAGATTGAAGGGGGAAGGAGAGGCAAAAGGGTCTAAAGGACGAAAAAGAATGAAAGATAATTGTGAAGGCTCAAAATGTAAGGTTCGTTAAATCGTTTTAATCGTTAATCATCGTCACGCTTCGAATCACGTAGGTTTAGGTAGCTTAGTTTTTTATATCGAACAAGTGCCCTAGCGTCTTAGTTTTATTTGTAATCGACCAATCGCGCGCCGGTTCCGAGCTTGAGGTCGAGGGTCGACAAGATTACGTCTTACGTCGCGCGAGGGAACCTCGAGCTTCCTCTGCGCGGTTCAACGAGGAATGATATTACCGAGTTACGCGTCATTGTCATTAGTTAGGTTTTTCAAATTACAAAAAAAAAAAAAAACAAAGTAAATGCATAATAAATTAAAAACGTGTGATACTTTAGAGGGACAATGGAGGAGAATTGGGGCTGGTCGAGCGTTTCGAGATTCACGAGGCAAATCTGCGCGTTTACGTTGTCGACCCGAAAACGCCGATAGTCTGTAAACTAAATGACGTAACGTGACATACAAACGTGTGTTATTGTTTGCGTGCGCAATTCCGCAGCCGATTCCGGTTGATCGCGCCGTTGCGGTTCCGCTCCTTCTTATTCTTCCTCATTCTCTCTCTCTCTCTCTCTCTTTTCCCTTATACTTCTTCATTTTACATTTTCCCACAAATTTTCCACTTTACACCCAGCTTCTCAGTTTTCCTTCCTGCTCGAACCCTGGGTCATATGGATTTTTTTCTTTGTTTTGGATTAAACGTCATTTTCTGTGGGCTCTTCCGCGTGTCCTTCAGTTAGCATTCGAAATGATCTCAATCGAGGTTCAAGACTCGAGCACCGAGCTGAAGTGATATCGTTATCTAACCGCTTTAACAATTCACTGACATCGACAGAGACAGAGACTTCGTCGTCCCTTCTGAGAACAATAGATTTAGGTTAACGTATTCAATTGTGAAGGCGATATAGAAATTTATATGTACATACATACACACGTATGTATGTATGTACATATGCATAATGAATATGAATGTATATGTATGTATGTATCTATATTTTTACTTACTTTTAAAGTACTATTAATAGACACGCGAATATACAATAAATATACAATAAATACATGCATACACAGAATGCGTAATGCGGATACACACGCGAAAATACACTCACATTACACAAGACAAATAACACATATGTTACATGAAAGAAAAGAAATATATATTAGATCGTATTATTATATTGTTGGAGGTTGCGCGGACGCGTCTGCGCATCTCCGACGTCACTACTAATTGCATAATTAGCTAGACCCGTAGCTTTACTCTCTACGCTACCGAGAGAAAAGAAAAAAGGTGGACGAAAGAAAGGAGTAATCGGATGCGCCTGAGTTTTCACGATCTTAAAGGAGGAGGGAATATCGGTCAAGAGAAAAGAGAAAAGATAAAAGATAAAAGATAAAAGAGAAAAGAAAAGGGAAGGCGAATGATGAATTATCATTAATTCGAAAAGAATCAGTCAATTACGCGTTATTATTTTGAAATTCCATCGAGTCACTTGCACCACGTCGCACCACGTCGCACCACGTCGCACCACGTCCACGTGGATTCATGAACCTCCAAAGAAAGCCTGATCGCTGGATGCGCGCGCACGCAGATTACATGTCTCAGGATGCACCAAAGTGCAGGCGAAGCCAAAAACTGGAGAAATCTTGCCGATAGTGCGCAGCAATACGTGCTCGGATATCGGATTTACGTGCGCGCGCGCGCGCGCACATGGCCGATACGTAAAGTACAATCCTGAGCCTGTTCGTTATGCTCTTTTGCAAATTCGTATGCTCATCGGAATTCGCAAGCGGACGGGAATACGTCGGCGGAGTCTGCAAATCAGTATGATTGAGATTGATTGATTGATTGATTGTAAGTGCGATTGTCGTATAAAGTATTTGGATGGGCAAGATAGATAGATAGATAGATAGATAGAGAGAGAGAGAGAGAGAGAGAGAGAGAGAGAGGGAGAGGATCAAGCACAGCGCGCGAGCGAGAGAGAATAAGAAAAAAAGGAACGAACACGAGGAAAAGGAAAAGGAAAAGGAATAGCATTGCCTTAGATTTTGTAGAAGTGAAAATGGCGGGGATGCCTCTTGTCCTTGCCTTCGCATAACTTCCGTTTTCCCAAGATGTCATTTTACACTGTGATCGGTTGCGATTGCGTCTTGTCATTTGATTGAACGCAAATGAAAATAATTGTCGGGTGATCAGTCGATGGGATTGGACCGAAGTGACTACCGATCTAACAATCGTAGGTAGATAGAGACACAGTAACATACAGATGGAAAAATAGATATACACGAGGGACAACGAAAGTTCGAAGAGTTTCTCATTAAAATGGAGAAGCCTTGCAGCAACAAGTGACGAATTAAAATACCGATAATCAAACTACCTTATTATGTCGCAGCTGTCCTGTAAATCTGTCTATCTACTTATCCGCCTACTTATCTTATCGGGCTGTAATTAGCTCTAAACGATTTATCTGATCAGTATACATCAGTCCGCCGTCTGATGGACCTATGTACCGCACGTTCAAACGTTCAAACGTTCGAGTTGAATCTCACGTCGATATGCCTGATGTCGTGTGCGCTCGCGTTTACGTCCGGAATCAAAGTTTTATCCTTTTAGTTGCATAGAATTTTGGAAAGATGAGAGACGACGGATGTGTTTGCACGAAGAGAAGGGGAGGAGCGTGTGCGCGGTGCGCATGCCCAAATGCCCAAATGCCCAAGGAAGTGTGATCGGCGGAAGGCGCGAGTGCACGTGGCGCACGTGTGAAGGATAACTCATTAGCGTCGATTCGCATCAACTTTTTCTTACCAATACGTACTATACTACATACGCTATACCTGTGGCGATATTGGATAATATAACTGTAATGGACGTCAAACTATCCTTAGAAGTAAAAGGGAAAAGAAAGAAAGGAAAAGCATAAAGCACCACGCGTTTGCTGCAAGGCGCGAACACGCGTAATATGAAACAAGAATTGGACGAGGAGATCTCTGGAGTAAAAGAGGGAGAGAGGGGACGAGTGAAATGCCGAGAAAAAGAGGTTATCAATATATATATATAAAAATATATATATATATTATTAAAAAATGTATGCTGTCCCACTGTGATACAACTTTTGTTTTTGCATGTAAAATATACTATTGATATCATAAGTACGAATGTGAAATATAAACATACGTAACACACGTACACAGATACTGGAATACACATACACAGAAAAACACGTAAATATATAGAAAAGCAAAAATATATATATTATATATAGTAGTGTGCAGATACAAATGGCCGCCGTCTCTGTCCGTTTGTACGCGCGCACGCATGTATTGTGATCGAAAGTGCACAGAAGATGCCTGTGCATGCGGATACAAGATAAAAAAAAAAAAAAATAGAAATTCCTTTAATGTCAGCTAGAAGAAAAAGAATATCGCTCGAGCTCCCGTGCATTCTCTATCTCCTCTATCTCTCCGACGACGCCTCGAGAGTGCACCGGGGCAGGCGTCCGTCTTGTAAATAAAAGAGCGGCCAAGGAGGAGGAACACCGTTTGACGTCGGACGGTCGTCCTTGCGTCGCAGCAGCTCATTTTATGAGACGCCTCGGGTCGACGCTTGGCGTCTGAACGAATTGCCCGACGTCTCCGTCCCCGTCGAGCGAGTGTCCTCCTTCGTTGACTACTATGTCAAATCCGTCGAATGTTCAGTGAAGAGATTTAGAAGAAGAAGAAAACGGAACGAGAAGGAAAGAAATCCGTAGGATCTGTCGTCGCGACGCTTTCGGCGACAAGCACAAACGGCGAAATCAATTCGAATCGAAGGCAAAAGTCGAAAATGCGAGAGCGTGGCTGTGACGTGTCCGTAGCTGGTCGCGAAGATCGACATTTTCTAAATACGGCCCGATGGAATCGCCCGCGCGACAACTTTGGGGGATTCGTGCGTGATCGAGCTACCAGTTTCGATTTTATGCAGTTTTATATCGTCAAATTAGATCTTTTTATTGCTATTTCGTAAGAGATTCCTTCACGAGTCACCGAAATATGTTTCTCGCGAGACTTCATACTTTCTTCGAATACGCTGGCTTTTTTCGTTTTTCATTATTTGAATTTCGCGCCGTCGATCGGTCCTTTGAATTCTCTTTGGTCGCTTCCGGTTTCCCTCGGCTGTTCGAGCGGTCATAACGAACCGTCGGAGGATATCCTGGTGCACGAAAGTGATTCTTACGGCTGAATGAAGTATTAGAAATAAAGAAGGATTGAAAATTTGAAATCAACTAAACGAGTCCCTTTGAGTGCGAGAAACGCTAAGGAGATGGATGTTTACTTAGTTGCGCAACGGTCATCTTCATATTATACCGTTTATTTGGTAGTACCATCCTGTAAAACCATTTATATTTGCATATGATTAATATGTTTTACTTATAAATACCGAAGCATTTCTTTCTCTTCTTAATCTCCTTCACCCCCTCTGCTTCCCATTATTCACGAACCAGCCAATATCAACACCTTTTAAATGATATAACCGCCATTACTGGATTCGTCGAACCGGAAGGTAAGTACAGTCTCATCTTATTTCTTGTCGCTGTCTGCTAAGTCCGCTATTAAAACTTGAGTAAAGGATTTAGCGCGTTTCTCGTCTCATTTCCTTCAGGACATTGCTCTTTCTAGTCTCTCTCTCTCTCTCTCTCTCTCTCTCTCTCTCTCTCTCTCTCTCTCTCTCTAGATCGGAAGAGCGTCGTGTAGGGAAAGAGCGTAGATCTCGGTGGTCGCCGGATCATTAAAAAAAA